TGCGACCCTCACCCTTCCCCCCCCCCTCCTCTCCTCTCTCCATCTAGCGCGCCCGCCGCACGAGACACATTTCTCCATTAAGTCATACCGCGACGTGCGCGGATGGGGATAGTGAGAGCTTCTTCTCCACCGGTTACTGATGCTGCTTTCCCGTTTGTCCAGGATGGAAAAACATAAGCAGTACGAGAACCAATCTAGAGCATTAGATTTTTTTAACGCTATAACTGAAACGAACTGGGTGGCATTGGAACTAATGTTTAATGAGAACACTAAAACTTTCTGACGGTATTAAAGGTAGTTATTTATACGTATTCATACACAGTGAAAAATACTCATAAGGGTTATGGAAAAATTTTCCATGATAAAAGTCGTAAAATTACAATTTGAAATTGTAAATTTACAAGCACTCCCTATCGACTTGGAATTGACCGACGAACAGGAATGGGCTGTCGTAAATTTACGACATATTTTGTAAATCAAAATTACAACAAATGTCGTAAATTTACGACATATTTTGTAAATCAAAATTACAACAAATGTCGTAAATTTACGAGGATATTTTTCACAGTGTACAGTTAAATTTATGTAAGTTTTCAATCGTAAAAAATGCAATTAAATTATTAGCACGCGTGTTTCAAGTTTGGGAAACAGTTGGTTATTGAGAAGGTTACAACAATCTTTATCAAAATGGAGAAATTTTGACATTTTTCCTCAAAGGACTGTCTAAAATGGTCCGTTCAACTAATTTAAGTCTGTTGGCCGCTCGTTGTGCCATACATTGGAAAATCAATCAGATCACGCTCACAGACTGTTCCTTAAATACCTTTGAGAACTCCATGTTGCTTGGTTGCTTGTGTGGATGTCGGGTGCAGACTGAAGCCAATTGGGGCCGAATCCTTATATATGAATCGACAGTGTTTGGCGGCGGCGCCGGGCCTTGCTGCACCGCGGCGGGTGGCTGCGTCCGGGGTGCGGGCGGGCTGCTGGGCGCGCCCGGGGGAGCGAGCGAGCGAGGCGAACACACCGCTGCCAGATTCGCACGCCACCACCCGGCTACCCTGGTGGGGTGGCTGGGAGGGCGAGCCCCTTGGCGAGCCCCCAGCACATCAGCTGGCGGGGAAGGGGTGTGTCTGTGGGTGTGTCTCCTGGACCCCCCCCCCCTCTCCACCCC